AGAATTGCTTGAACCCAGGAAGCAGAGGTTGCAGTGAGCCAAGATGGCGCCGCTGCACTCCAGCCTGGGCGACAGAGCAAGCCTCTGTCTCAAAAATGAAATAAAATAAAAGAAGTTGATTTTGGTAATAGTTTTTCTAAGAATGAAATAAAATAAAAGAAGTTGATTTCGGTAATAATTTTTCCTAGAAAAGGAAAATTTGGGTGAGGGGATATATTAATATATTCTCTGAATCTAATTTGATTCAAATTCTTTGTTTTTTTCCTCCCATCTTGCACATTCCAGAAAGTCCTATGAGTTTGAAGATTTACTGCAGTCTTCCTCTGAGAGCAGCAGGGTGGACTGGTACGCGCAGACTAAGCTGGGGCTGACACGTACTTTATCGGAGGAGAACGTCTATGAAGACATTCTAGGTAAGAGGCCACAGCGTCTGTGTGTGGGTCTGAATCTGTCTGGGAGAAAGGGAGGGAGAGTGGGGCTGGCTGCTGGAAATACACATGCAGACACTCGAAGACACCTGTGCACTCGAATGAGAGAGCAGGCAGGTGGGGTGGAGAGCGAGCCTCGCGGGATATGTGAGAGACTCTGGGCTGGAGGGGAAGACTGCTGGTTGAGCGTGGCCAAGGAGGCAGTGTAGCAGCGTGGCGTAGCAAGAAGCGTGGGGCCTAGAGTCTGAAGATCCAGAACCACGTCTTGGCCTGCTGCCTATTGGCCGCAGGACATTGAGCGGTGACTTCACGTCTCTGAACGTCAGTTCTCCCATCTGCATGATGAGAATGAAGCTAGCTCCCTTGCAAGGTTAAGGACTGGAGAGAATGTATGTCAACTCCCTCACTATGACAGATGCTCGGTCAACTGCAGGGATTACTGAATGAAAGAAAGCACTACACACCAGCGCCTCCTTCAGAAACCGTCAGAGTGTGGCACTAACGGGCAATCAGAACACAGACTAAATGCATGTCTGTGATTCAAAAGTAACTTGGGCTCCAAAGCTTCCTCTGAGATTTCAGAGCGGGTCTCAGATTCAGAGTTTGGTGAGTTCAGTCATCTTCAGGGAGTTGATGGTTTTAGTGAAAGGCGAAATCCAACTGCTTATGGTGGGGGTGAGGGCTGGGAGAAGAAACAAGCTGGTAAAAGGGAGAAACCCGTATGTGTGTGCAAGTGAGGGCAGGTAGGGTGGATATACACAGACATGCGGGCATGTAATCATCAATACTAGAAAAAACTTGCAGAAGGAGGAAATAGAACGTTTGAGGGAAGGGCAGATACTGAGCTAAGCAATTGAATTGGCATGTGTCCAGGCTGCTGGAGATGGCTCCTGCCAAAGCAGCGGGATTCCCAGATCTGAAGTGGGAGAGAGATCTGGACTTCTCTTAGCAGTGACTACCTAAGAGGATGCTTCAGTTATAAGGAACAGAAAACAACTAAACTAGCTTTTTCCTTCTCCATTTATTTTCTTTCTTTCTTTTTTTGAGACAGGAGTCTCACTCTGTTGCCCAGAGTGCAATGGCACAATCTCGACTCACTGCAGCCTCTGCCTCCCGGGTTCATGCGATTCTCCTGCCTCAGCCTCCCAAGTAGCTGGATTACAGGCACCCACCACCACACTTGGCTAATTTGTGTGTGTGTGTGTGTGTGTGTGTGTGTGTGTGTGTGTGTGTGTGTGTGTGTTTAGTAGAGACGGGGTTTTCCCATGTTGCCCAGGCTAGTCTCAAACTCCTAGGCTTAAGTGATCGACCCGCTTCAGCCTCCCAAGTTCTGGGATTACAGGTGTAAGCCACCACACCCAGCCTCCTTCCTCTATTTCTTACCTCTCAGGTTAGTTTTATTCTCAGCAGGCTTCCCAGGATCCCCACAGGGCTGCCCACAGCTTCCTGGAAATTCATATCTTCCTGGTGGAGAGAAGAGCTTGTATCCTGCAAGTCCCACCAGAAATCCTGAGGTTCACCCTCATTAGACCAGCCGAGGTCCCTTATTCACCTTTGGAGCCCGGGAAGGCCATGCAGTGATATCCCCTTAGGCTAGAATATGAGCCCTTCCCTAAACTGATCACTGAGCAGGGATTTGGGATACCTAGATTAGCTAAAGCACTGAAACTGAGAATGGAGTTAATCTCCCATGGCCACAGATGAAGAGATACAGAGGTAACCCAGTGAAATCAGGGGCTGCTACCAAGAGGAGGGGCGCATGGATGGCAAAACAGCAGGCACCGAGACAGGATGAGGCCAAGATGCTGACCTCAGTGTTTCGAAAAGGGAAATGTCCTCAGTGTTCCCAGGTTCGACACATTGCCTTTGAACACAGATCCGCCAATGAAGGAGAACCCTTATGAGACATCGAGTTACACGGTCGCTGCCTGGGAAAGAAGTGTGTCTTGAATTTTCTGCTTCTCCCACCTCTTCCATCCTGACACGCTCACCAAGGTATGAGTCCCCAGGGAGTGGTGGCAAGAGAGGGGGCCACAGCACGGTGGCCTTGAGCACTCTGGAGTTCCGCCAGCGCTGAACTCCAGGCCACCCCACTTGCCCTGCCAGGCTCCTGGATTTGTACATTGCTGGCTGACTGGTCTTTCTGCCTCTAGTTCTCTTGGAGCCCCCCTGCTCAAAAAAGCTTCCTAAAAATACCATTGAGCTTCAGGCTCAGAAACCTCCTCAAACAGGGTAAATAAAAGATGTACATCTGTCCCGTACAACTGTTAAGAATGTCTTAACATAGAGTACACTCTAAGATACAAGATGGAAAGGCATGATGTAGAACAGTAGTTTTAAAGTATTTGTGGGTTGTTTTGTTGTTGTGTGTTGTTGATTTGAGTCAGGGGTGTTGTCGCTCTGTCACCCAGGCTGGAGTGCAGTAGTGCAATCACGGCTCACTGCAAGTGAACTCCCAGACTCAATAATCCTCCCAACTCAGCCTTCTAAGTACCCGGGATTATAGGCACATGCCACCAGCCCAGCTGATTTTGTATTTTTTGTAGAAACTGGGTTTCGCCATGTTGGCCATGCTGATCTTGAACTCCTGGGCTCAAGTGATCAACCAGCCTTGGCCTCCCAAAGTGCTGGGATTACAGGCGTGAGCCACCACGTCCAGCCTGTGGGTTTCTTAATGAAAAAAATATACATATATGTAAACCGCACATGTCTGTATGTGGGTTTTTTTAGTGAAAGATATGCATATATATAAATATGAAAGAATATACATATATGTAAACTCACACATGTATGTATAAGAATATCTTCATCCCCAATATTGGAGGTGAAAAAAACAATCTGTGTGCGGACACCCAAGCGTGAGGAACTGAGACCTCAGAGGGGTTGTCCTGTCTGAACACCCGGAGGGGGGGAAGGCTGACCTTCTTTTTACAGAATATCCTTTTGAACCTTTTGGAGTTACATACCATATGCATATAGATAATATAACATATTCATGTAGATGGTAATTTCAACCTACTGCCTGCAGGGCTAGCATTTGTAACAGGTATCCTGGCACCCATTACCCCTAATCTCCCATAGTTCCTACATGCAAACGCCCCCTCCAGCCAGAGCCTACCAGCTACCCCTGGTAGGCCTGGGACATGCGCACTCTCTCTAAAGGGCCAGAGAGTAAACATTTGGGCTGTGTGGGCCATGTGGTCTCTGTTGTAACTACCGAGAGTGGCCACTGTAGTGTGAGGCAGTCATAGACAATGTGTAAATAAATGAAAGTGGCTGTGTCTCAATCAACCTTTGTTGTTGTTGTTTTTCGTTTTTGTTTTTTGAGACAGAATCTTGCTCTGTCACCCAGACTGGAGTGCAGTGGCGCAGTCTCGGCTCAATGCAACCTCCACCTCCCGGGTTCAAGCGATTTCTCCTGCCTCAGCCTTCCAAGTAGCTGGGACTACAGGCATGTGCCACCACGCCCGGCTAACTTTTTGTATTTTTTTTTTTAGTAGAGATGGGGTTTCACCGTGTTAGCCAGGATGGTCTCAATCTCCTGACCTCGTGATCCGCCCACCTCAGCCTCCCAAAGTACTGGATTACAGATGTGAGCCACTGTGCCCAGCCTTAATATATCCCAAAAACATCTCCCCAACTAGATTATAAATTCCTCAAGGTCAAAAGGTATATATTTTAACCTAAGTTAAAATAAATAAGTAAATAAAAATGTATATATTCTATTTCTTTGGTTTTCCCGTAAGGCCTAACAGTTCTACAATATTTAGTAGAAGAAATTAAGGAAGGCCAAGTATCAGCTGCAAAGGTCAACTTAAATCTCATTGCAAGGCTCTGTTTCCAGCCTAGGAAAAGCAGTGGTCTTCCTGTCCCTGCCCCACAGGGTCAGCATCGCTGGCAGGTGGGGCTGTCTCCACCTGAAGCCTGTCTTCTGTGCTTGATGGCCGTAAAAGGATGCTGCGTGCCACCAGGCTTCTGGAAGAGATGAGGGAACAACCTATCCTGAAGGATGGATCTTACAGACCCAGATAAATTGCTACAATACTTGCCTGTACCACTTAACTGCCATTCTCTCTTATATGGAAAAGGGTGTCATCAAGAATAATCCATGGCCACTGACAATTAGCAAATACTTTCTGCTTGCCTTGGAAATGTGTTGTTGGTGTTTTCATTGCAATAGGGATGTCTTCAACATTTAGGAAATCCTTCATTTCCCATGGCAGAGAAGCCTGACTTAGAATAAGAAAGCAAGCTGTCACACCTAGTCTGTCCCCTTTGGGTCCTACCTGGCTCCCCACTTCATGTGGGGAGTGAACTGCCTCACCCCTGAGGAACAATGAAAAACATCTGCCCAGGCCAAGCACAGTGGCTCACGCCTGTAATCCTAGCACTTTGGAGGCCAAGGCTGGTGGATCACCTGAGGTCAGGAGTTCGAGACCAGCCTGGCCAATATGGTGAAACCCCATCTCTACTAAAAATACAAAAATTAGTGAGGTGTGGTGGCGTGCGCCTGTAATCCCAGCTACTCGGGAGGCAGAGGCAGGAGAATCGCTTGAACCTAGGGGGCAGAGGTTGCAGTGAGCCAAGATCACGCCACTTCACTCCAGCCTGAGTAAAAGAGTGAAACTCCGTCTCAAAAAAAACAACATCTACCCAAGGCAGCTTTGCATTCAGGCAGAGCACTCCTGCCTGATACCAGGAAATAAAGGCTTACCAACCCTTTTCTTCCTGTCCCTGCTGGGCTGGAGAAAACCTAGAGCCTCTGCCGCCAAAGCAGCTGAGCCCAGTAAGTGAGAATGTCAACAAGAACTTAACGTCCAACTGTGTCTGTATCTGTAGCTGTAGCTGTCTGAAGAAAGAGAATCCAGTTGTCCAGAGCATGTGTCTGATTGTCACAGATCCTTGCAAGCCCTCAGCGGGACACCGTGTCCAGGCCCATTATTCTGCTCATCCACATCTGGGTGTCGGCTGTGTGCCCTGCTCTAGGGGACAGCTGAAGACTTCACCACTTCCTCCATTAGCTCATCAAATATTCATGGAGCATCTGCCGCATCTGGGCTGCATCTGGGACCTCAGAGCTTGCAGGAGCAGTCCCTCCATGCGACTTCCCCTGCAAGCTGCGGAGAGATCCTCAGCCATCTTTGGGATGTTCATTTTATTAGGCCATGGCTAGTTATTTGAGCCACTAGAATTTCCATTTGAGAGGGAAGGGCCTGTTGGATAGGCGCTCCTCAGAAAGGACCAAGCGTGCAGCTGGGGGCAGATGCTGCTGCTACTGAACACAAACTGCAAACTCCTGAAAGGGACTGTTTTCTTGCTACGCATCACCCACCATTTCTTTTCTTTTCAGACAAAATCTTGCTCTGTCGCCCAGGCTGGAGTGCAGTGGCTCGATCTCGGCTCACTGCAACCTCCACCCCACCGAGTTCAAGTGATTCTCGTGCCCCACCCTCTGAGTAGCTGGGATTACAGGCACAGGTCACCATGCCGGCTAATTTTTTGTATTTTTAGTAAAGACAGGGTTTCACCACGTTGGCCAGGCTGCTTTCGAACGCCTGACTTCAAGTGATGCGCCCGCCTCAGCCTCCCAAAGTGCTGGAATTACAGGCATGAGCCACCACACCTGGCCTATACTTTTCAATATATGTTCTTTTTAAAAATAACAAACTGGGTGGCCAGGCACAGTGGCTCATGCCTGTAATCCCAGCACTTTGGGAGGCCAAGGCGGGCAGCTCACCTGAGGTCAGGAGTTTGAGATCAGCCTGGCCAACATGGTGAAACCCCATCTCTACCAAAAATGCAAAAATTAGCCAGGTGTAGCGGCACGCTCCTATATTCCCAGCTACTTGGGAGGCCGAGGCAGGAGAATCGCTTGAACCTGGGAGGCGGAGGTTTCGGTAAGCTGAGATCACGCCACTGCACTCCAGCCTGGGCGACAGAATGAGACTCCATCTCAAAACTAAATAAAAAATAATAATAGTGAAATAACAGGCTGGGTGCAGTGGTCCATGCCTGTAATCCTAGCACTTTGGGAAGCCAAGGTTGGGGGATTGCTTGAGGCCAGGCATTCAAGACCAGCCTGGTCAACACAGTAAGACCCCATCTCTACAAAAAATTTAAAAATTAGACAGGCATGGTGGTGTGTGCCTGTAGTCCTAACTACTCAGGAGGCTGACATGGGAGATTCACTTGAACCCAGGAGTCCAACGCTGCAGTGAGCTATTTTTGTGCCACAGCTCTCCAGAGTGAGAGCCTGTCTCCAAAAATAAGTAAATACATACATACATGCCTTTCTTTCTTTTTTTCTGAAAACATTGTAATTATAAAAGTTTTTCTGGTTACATGATACAGAATAAGTGTTTCAATTACTGAAAAGTTTAATGAAGAAAATAAAACTCGTCCACAATTGGGGAATTCTACTTTTCTGTATGCCTCTATTTTCTAGTATTTCTGTAATAGATTTACATTTTTTATTTTTTGAGATGGAGTTTCCTTCTTGTTGCCCAGGCTGGAGGGCAGTGGCGTGAGCTCAGCTCACTGCAACCTCTGTCTCTGTTTCCCAAGTAGCTGGGACTACGGGCGTCTGCCACCGCCCAGCTAATTTTTTTTATATCTTTAGTAGAGACAAGGTTTCATCATTTTGGCCAGGCCGGTCTCGAACTCCTGACCTCAGATGATCCACCCACCTTTGCCTCCCAAATGCTTGGATTACAGGCACGAGCCACCTTGCCTGGCCCAGATTGGCATCTTGTGTATGTGTATTTATGTGTGTGTATTTTAAAGATCTTTTTAAAACACACATGTAACCCCAACACCCACTGCTGACACTTCAGTTTATTTCCTCTCTGATTCTCTCACACACACTGTGTGTGGTGTGCATCCATGTATTTGTGTGCATGTAAGTATACATTTTTTAAAAAGATCTGTGATCTTGGGAGGCCGAGGCGGGCAGATCAACTGAGGTCAGGAGTTTGTAACCAGCCTGGCAAACATGG